TTCCTTTGTAATTTAAAATAACGTTGTCTTTTTCGAAAGTCTTCAAAATACAAATAACAATAATTATAAAAATTTTAAAATTATTTATATTTTCTGGAATGTTAATTAACATATTCGAATATTTTTTCTTAAAAAGAAACTTAATCGTTCGAAAGAAATATTTAGAAAACAAAATAAACGATTCTAAAATTCAAATATTTTTTCCATGTAGGTTATCTAGAAGTTCTAATAAAACAATCATAATAATTGCAACATAATAATATATTCTTAAATACGCTATAAAAAACTCTTTAGTCATCTCATAGGAGCAATCACGTGTTTCCTTTACATAAAATAATTTAAACCAAATGACTTTCAAATATATTAGATCTCTATTATTGTGTGATTTATGTGTACAAATTATAAAATCAAATAAGAATGTGTTTAAGCTATTGTGGATTTTCGCATTATTTGAAATGTTTACAAATGTTTCCACGTTTTTAATTATGACTTTATCATATCTGAAACCCAACCAGACAACAAGTCCTTATTCAGAGTGATAGTTACTCGCTCGTGGTTGTATTTATACTGTCGGCGTAGCATGTATACGGTTTGGAAATTTTTCATTAGTTCCAGGAAAACTCCAAAAGGAGACATATTACGCACTATGTAGCAAACACTACAAAATAATGTATATTCAATAAAAACATAAACAAGACACTTGGGAAAGCAGAAAAAAGAAAATCTACAACGTCCAACAAAAATGATGAAAACAAAAAATATGACGATAAAGGAACACAAATACTGTCGTATATACAAAGAATTACCGACCGTATTTCAAAAATCACAAATAAATTCAAAATAAGAAGCATTTTCAAACCGAAAAAAGTTTTGGAATTACTACTCTGAAACCAGAATGTTCATCTATCAGAAATGCAAAGACCCGAAGTTTATGAAATACTATATTAATATGGTAGGTCATATATTGGACATACATGAAAAGAATAAAACAATACCAAAAAGACGTAGATTACCAAAGGACAGAAAAATCCGCGGTAGCTGAACACGCCAAAAACAGTGGACACGAAATCCAATTTGACCAAGTCAGAATATTGAACTAAGAAGCTCATTTTGGCAAACGGATGTAAAAAGAAGCAATTGAAATAAAAAAATATCCAGAAAATTACAATTAATAAGATACATGAACTATTAGCAAGACTTTATTTCCTATCTTGCACCATAAAAAAAGGAAATTGACATAAACACAAAGGAAATAACTAAATGTGTGAAAAAAATATAATTATTATTACAGAAATTGACGATGTGGAAAAGTAAGAGCTAAATGTCAAGAATGCCGTAAATAATAACAAAAACAATGTGTAAACAACAAACAGACAGTTGTTTTTAACAATACGACACAAACATAAACATCAACGTTATCAGTTATCAACTGATATAAAAAAAAAACAGTCAACAACTGTAAAGTGACAGTATAATTATAACCACGAGCTTGTAACTATCGCTCTGAAGATGGATAAGCGAAATCAAATAATTTCATCCAATTATTACATCACATAATATGATTTAAATTAATTTATAACTATTTTCTTTTCGTCACTAACAAACTTTTTTTATACAATTTCTATTATTTGTATCCCCGTTATACTAGGATCTTCTTAACACTTAAATAATAATTTGGTGTAATTCACAATACTTTAACTTAGTTTTTCTGTACTTTAACCATGGTCTTGTGTTATATTACTTAAGAGAAAGTAGTCGAATTTATACCTTAACAGTTTTATTAAATCTATTAAAGAAAATATTCACCATAAGAACTTAAAATTTGGAAAAAAATATTTCTTGATATATTTAAATCATTTGGTTAAAAGCTCATTAATTAATTTTAATCATGTTTAAAATTTTAATTATTTAGAAAGAATAGTCAAATTGGACATCTTGCACAACACCTGGGCCAAAGTTAGTTTTTTAATGGGGTAAGCTAATATACATTTGCGTAATTAAAGTTATGCTAAAAAAATGTATTATGTGTGTAATCCCTAGTTAAGAGGTGTTACCACCTGTCTTCTTAAGAAATTTTGAAAGTATTATACAATTTTTGGCAGCCGCCCAAATTCTCTTGAATGATTATTAGATTTAGTTCTTTTTAATAACTGTGATAGTTCAACTAATTATAAAAAATATTATACTTGAATAAAATAATAATTATTATTTATACGTTATTTTAAAACGGGTTTAAAAAAATTCTTGATTACTACAAAAACTACATTTTTATTTTTGATACCAAATTTAAGCTTCGAATATAAATTACATTATTGCAATAACATATTAATAACACAAAACTTATCATGAATGTGTTAAAGCTATCATCGAATGTCTTATTGCTTGAAATGATTAAAGTTTTATCCATGTTTGCAGTTGAGTTCCTGACGATTCATTGCAGAGTCCATCTTCGGAATGATGGTTGTTAGTCGGAGTCTGCAACTAAAATGTATACTATACTATAATGCAACCACCCACTAGCAAACATCACTCTGAAGATAGACTTTACAATGAGTCCGAAACATCAGAACTCAACTGCACACATGGATAAATCCTTAAGCACTTTAATCAACAAAACTTATCGTCAATGAGTTTCCGAACCAAGTATAAATTATAATGTTTATTATAAAATAATTACGTTCTACAGCACTTTATTTTATCATTCAGCATTTAATTAATTAAATAATTAGTACAGTATTGATAATTTTATTCTTGATTTCTTTTAGTTACATGGTTTTTTCAATTTAAAATCATGGAGTATTTTTAATGTTCATCAACATTAATGTATCAAAAGCATGTTTGGTAAATTGAGAAAAACATAAAATTAAAAGATTTTAAGAGTAAAATTTTCAATATTCTATTTTATTTTCGATTAATTAAGTGATTGATGATTTAATAAAATTATGATCTTGAATATTCAAATTTTATAATAAAAGTAACATACGATTTTAATATATATTATGTCTTTATTCTTTATGTTTGCATCAATGATGTTATTCTAAAAAAAATATAAAAATATCAATAATTTCTTTACAAAAAATAAATACAACATTATTAAAGTATTTTATTTATATTAATTATTATATAAAACTGTGATTTTAATAATTTCATATTGAAAGTTTATAAATAAGAAATATTAACTTCCTCTCCCATCACAATCAAAATATACCAGTTGTTCGATGCATTTCTTTTTTCTTTTTTATGTTATTATGGTATATGATAAGTGCGTTTGTCCGGTGCGTACCGGTTTCTTTTATTGTATTAATAGTAGTTGAACGATGAACTCGTCATCGTAAAGGACGACACGATGTGCACGCTAACATGTGTGTACAAAATAAAGTAATATAAACTAAGTTAAAAGTTTAAGTTTTATATCGTTTTTATTAGTTAAATAGTTAAAAGTAATCGTATTTATACAGTCCATTATGAGACCGAAACACCAGTAAATGTTAAGTTTTTCATAAGTGGGCTGTTTTCTCTCATTGAGCACACATATGATTAAAGATACTTACAAAATTCACATAAAGTTCTGCAAAAATCTGTTCATTATTTTCAAAATCCTGGAAATAAAGTCCAAAAATACTATTATTCAGTTTGGTAATAATCAGAAATTTCATTTTATGAATTTTAAAGCGTGATACGGGTCCGTATCATGGGGAAACTTAAAATAAATAGCACTGACGGGCGTGGCTTGTCAAAATATTTTTTAAATGCATTAACTTTTACTATAATGTGTTTATTTTTTAGTTTTGTGGCTGTGACTACTTTTTCTCAGATCTCACTGGACCGATTTCTCTCAACAATACCTAAAAAAATAACATATCGTATCTAATTGAAGACATTACCCTTAAGAATTGTAAATATTCCCCTCGTCTACCTTAAATGGTGGAAATCCCCTCAAAAAATAGGATGTTTAAAATCGGTAAATTTCGACATTTTTTTCACTTTTTTTCTAAAAATTACCATAACTTATTGGAAAATGAACAAATCAAAGTAACTTGATTTTATATAGAAACCTTAAAAGTAATTCCTTTTTATTTGATATTATATTTTTGAAAATCTGACCCTTTACACCTTTTCACAAAAGAGGATTCAAATAGGAACTTTATTACAAAACTCAACTTTTTCAACTTAACGTTTGTAAATGTTCCGGAAATACTGCGTCCTTTAAACATATGTCATATTAAAACATATGTTACGTACTATGAATTAAAAAAAAAAATTGTCTAGATGACCTATCATCTTTAAACAGATGACTACCGTAGTTAAAACACATGCTATTTTTATGTTCAAATTTTAATTTTTTTTGTATATCTAAAAAATGTATTTGTATAGTAATGAATCCAACAATAAAAATAAAATTTACACGAATCTAACGTATATTAAATTTACACTTATTATGTTTATTTTGCTTCTTCAAAATTAAGAAAGCTTTTTGAATTTTTGAATACTTGAAAATATGTATAAAAAGTAGAACTTTCTTAAATTTATTTTTGAAAATTTTTCGGGAATGCTCTTTTAAAAAGTATTTTTTATGTACTAGAAATTCAAAAAAAAAGAATTTGTACCGATAATTTATTTTCTATGTTTAATGGAAGTAATGTAGAACAAAAAATAGGAGTTAATTTTGCTTTTGTAATAATATACCAATTTCTTAAAATTAAACACAATCTATAGATTTGCATCGAAGCGTTTCTTATGGTGGCGATTTTAATCACTGTCAGATATCATCTATAATTGTTCCACCTATGCCACCTACATACTGTGCCACGACCCCACTGTTCTACTGTTTTTGGTATTAACTATCAATAAAAAGACCGCCCGATAATATTCTGATGAATAATAACAGTAACGTAATGTACCATATGGCGCGCAAACACACCATTTAACTTATTTATCTACCGTTTTAATGCAGTTCACTTCATAATAATCATAATATTGTTGCGATTATTAATACTCGAAATAATTCTTGTGAGATTGAATCATCTATCCACAGATCTAACAAGCACTATGTATATCTATAGCTATACATGTGGACCAATCAGTTTTCCATATTGATCGGTCCATAAACTCAGTATTATACACGATGGATTACAAATATAGGTAGCTAATTGGCTTTTTAATATATCGCTATCACAGATACAGAGCGGTTATTGTAATTCTTTACTTAATCAACAGATATGCTTAAAGTGAGCTTGTAAGATATTGTTGTGAGTTAACATTTAAAAATACTCAACTTAAATACAAGAAAACACATCTACCGATTGTCATCATTGACAATAAACTCTCCGTATCTGTGAATAAGCGACGTCATTAAAAAAAACAATTAGTTACCTGAATTTGAAATCCTTTGCGTATTATACATGTATATTATTTCAAAAAGTTGAAACTTTAAAGTTTTATATCTAATATATAAATAAAGTTTTATTAAGAACTCAAATGCCATTTACTATTAAATAAAACACTCAAACATTTTATTAAATTCAAAATAAGTGTTCCCACATAAAAAAAACAAATAAACACCCTTAGAGTGCATAAGGGATAGACTTAAAAGTATTACATAGTTAATAATTAAAAAATACTAAATAACTTACGGTAACCCGGAAAAAAAAATTGTTTTAATTATTTTTATTCTGTGAGTAATTGAGTGGGTTATGAAAAAAAAGTCATTCTGAATATCTATCTTAAAATCATAAATATAAGATAAAAAATAAAAATATTTTATTTAGAGGGATTTGAAAAAATAATAATTTTATGTCACTCACTCTCATTTTCTTTCATTGGTAGTCAACAATGAAAATAACGTTTTAAAATTTTGTATGCATACTAAACTGGGCGAGACGATTATTTTTGTTTTTTACGTCATTAATATAAAAACTACTAGTGTACAACTTATTGAGATGTGCATCAAAAACAAGTGTTCCTCTATTATCAAGGCTGTTATAATGTTTACTTAAAATAATTCTCACCAATATTAAAGGACCGCACAATAAATATTTCTAAAATAAAAGATTTTGCGTTAGAATATTTTTATTAAATATTGCAAAATGATAACGGTGTCTAGGCAGTAACAATACATAACAAAAACTTACTTTAGAAGGTTCCAAACAATATTTCTTCATAAGCCGCTCAGTATTTATATCCTATAATATAACCATTGAATGTTAATATTATTAATTTTAATTTCAAAACAGTTGATTCCTAAAATTTATTGACATTTAATAATGAGTAAACTTACATAAAAAATTCCGTCGATAAACTATATATGAAAAAACCATATTTGAAAATTTTATATAAAAATTTTACATTTATAATCACAGTTAGAATAAAAAATTATTTATTTAAAACATAATAATTTAATGTGTATATAAAAAACAAATCTATGTGAAGACTTTCTTGGTTCTAAGAATACACAATAAAAACTTACATCTGAAGGGCTGTTAAAATATTCCTCCGTAATCCACAGAGCTTTTGTATACTATTATATAACGATTAAATGATAATATTATTGACTTAAATTTCAAAATAGTTGATTCATAAAATATATTGAAGTTAATAATAATAATAATTAAACTTACAATACCCAATTTTCTTTTTACATTATCTAGTTTCACTTCTTGCTATATAAAATAAATATATTTGAAAAATTTAAATAGAGATATGATAATTATAGCAGAATTAGCATTAAGAATTATTTATTTAAATAACAATACTTTAAGGTTTATATGAAAAATAAAACTATATAATGACTTTCTTAGTTCTAAGAAAGTGTTAAGTTTTAATTAGTGTCTTATACTAAAAACGTCACATGAAAATTAAATAAAAAGTATCTATACTAAATTATTAAATTAAATATCATATAATAAACTATTAAAATTACCGGGTTAATTAAAAGTATATTTCCAATAACATCTTCAAAAAAATATTCACAAATAAAAATTAATAAAATAGAATAAGTTTTGTAAAACATTATACAAGAATAATTAGATTTATATAATATAATTAACCGAATAATAACTTAGATATAGTTTATTAAATTTTCATCGAATTTTCGCAATTTTATAGGTATTAAAGTCAATAAAATACTAAAAAAACGTAAATAAAAAAAATATTAAACAAATATTAAAAAGAAGCTAAAATTATTTTAAAATAAAACCATTATATCATTTTTTTGACATCATCTATGATAATAATATATAAATTATATTATTTTATTTATGTAGATATTATTTTGTAATATTTATATCATTATTGTTTCTTAGCATCAATTCCAAGCTTAGACGATATCAATTTTAGTATAAAGATTATTCTGTGACGGTCTACTTAGCTCAGTTGGTAATGTGTCGTACCTCAGAACTTAGGTATTGGGGTTCGATTCCGTTGGGCTGGGCTATATAGTTTCTCCTGTCATCTTCTGCACAAGAAATATATTTTAGAGGGGACGATAAACATAATTAACAATATATAAAATGTAAACTTTATTTATTTTTATTCTTTTATTGATTTTCTAAATCACCATATACTAATATTTCAAAAATTATTAAAACAAAACTGGTTGTCGATAAGTTAACATTTTATTTAAACCAATCTATATTTATTAGTAAAAGAATAAAATAGGTTTCTATTTAACTATTAAAAGTCATCCATAAAATCTATTAAATTTTCGTATCAATGTGCTCCAACTAAATTATCTTTAACAAGCTGAACATATACGATAAAAATAATATTATAAAATAGAAAAACCATTAATGAAAAGTATTTTCAACGCAATATAATGATTTTAGAATTTGTATTAACGCAAACAAATGATTTATTGAAATCAGAGTACATAACATCTGCTATTTTTATTATTAGTGGAAATGAATCTAAAATATTTTATTTGAATATTTTTAAATTAGTGATTGTCAAATGTTCCTAATAGAAGCCATTCTATTCCTTAATGATTGTATTTTTAAAAATAGGATATAGTTTAGAAATAATTATTTTTGTGAAAACTTTCTAAATAATGGATATTATTAATATAGGTCTATATTTCAATATAGCAAAATAATTACCTTTCTTTGAACTAGGTAAAATATAAATGGTTTTGTGATATGTAAGAAATATTCATGAACTTAAAGAAAGATTAAGCAAAAAAATAAGTGTACATTGTGTCCAACCGTAATTTACTAATTTGACTATATAACTAATGTTGAAATTAGTAAATCGCAGTGGGAAACTCTGTACAGAGTGATCTAAATCTATTAAGACACTACTTTTCTCAGAAACTATAGAGAATTTAAAATTTTTGTAAAGACAAAAATATTTAGTTCAAATTACTACAATAATATATAATTAATTTTACCTTCGACTCAAAGCTGATAAGGTATTGGTTTTACTATGATCTGTTTTTTTTTTGTGTCTGTTTCCAATTTTCTCAGCTCTCACCGAACAGATTACTTTCAACGATACGCCAAAAGATCACAAATCGTATCTAGTCGAAGACATTACCCTCAAAAATTGAAAAAATTTCCCTTGACTTTTGAAAGTGTTTCGAAGGTCTGACACTTATATTTATATATCTTAAATTAAAGCTAATGTAATGTACTTTATTATGGAAAAAAAAAATTTGACCTCTGGACTTGTCTTCGTGGTGAAAATGGCTATCGAATGCTATTTTTGTATAAAAATTCTTGATTTTATTTTTTACATTTTTAACATTATAATGTTTATATTATATTATTATATATTTCAAATTCCTATAGGAATATTCGTGTGAAATGTAAAAATTATTTTACATTTTATTTATTAAATAAAATACATTATTCGGCCGCAAAGATTCAAATTTGATGTCAAGAACTTTGAAATACTCATATTTTGAATTGTAAATTTATTTTTTTTCGCAAAGCATTCCTAATAATTCAAAATAAATTATAACATAATTATTATGTTATAAATTACAAAAAGACTGTATAATAAGTATTATGTTAAAAATTAATTTCAATATATTTATTCTAAATTTACTATCCATCAATATCGAGTATGTAAGATTATATAAGTCGCATTATTTAGATTTACTTATATTTTTTTAGGTTTTAAAAAAGTATTTTCAAAGTATTGAGGAAAGTATTTAAATATTTTTTTTATTCATCAAAAATTTACTTGATTGTTAATTCTTTTTTAATTCATTATACATTTAATGACATGATATTTGTCTGAGACAAAAATAGGTTTTGGATTGTATGATTTTTTCTCGAAAACAAGGTTTTAATATTTTATAATTTATATAAAGAACCAATTTTTCTATTGTTTATCAAAAAACTATAAATCAGTTATATATGAAAATTTTATTTTTTGCATTCAAAAATAGTTTAATTTACATTTAATACCATTGAAACTAAAAATATGATTAGCTCCTCCGAAATTTTTATAATATTTCAGGGACTAAATTTAAATGAATTTGTATGATTTTAATATAACGCAAATATATTCAATATTTGTTGTTTTTGTAAAATGATATGATAACGTTCTTCTTCTTCTTTATCTTCGCCTTAATCCCAACTACTTGGGGTCGGCCAAATGATATGATAACGTTAATTAAGTTTTTGTGTTTAATGATTTTTACTATTCAAAGATACGTAGCTTTTATTATCAATTATGACTATCGAAAATATGCTTCATGTTTTTTCAGTATATGTATTTATAAATGTTAACTCACATTTTTATGGCTTATATCAAACTACCATACTCTAAGCATATCTGTCGTTAAAGTAATAATTATCGTAATAATAAATAGCGTCGCAAAGTTCAGAATAAACAATACCACATAATATTTTTTCTTCTTTTTATGAAAATTGTACATAACGCGTTAGCACATACACACTTTGTCATAGGCGCAAATGTTTTCCGATTTGGTGGTACTTAAAGGCCAAAACCTTTTTCTCGTTCCCATCCAAATATTGTACTCAACATTATTTTTATCTAGTCAAAGTAAACAATACGATTGTTCACTACATTCATTTTTTTCTTACAACTCTGTTATTTAAACATAACCATTGAAACCAAAACATATTATTATGGTTACAGGAAAATACACATTCCACACCAACGACTATGTACACACGTACAGTATTACAGACAATAACTTAAAAAAAAAGTAATTATTTTTATTAAACACTTATATTATATAATGTATAATGCATAAAATAATATTTTTATATACGAAGGATATAATTTTATATAAGGAATTACTCAATATTTTCTTACAAGATTTCAAAAAAATGACGAAATCTGCTTGGGGGCACTATGAACTCCCCGAAGGCGCTAAGCAACCAAACCATTTATTGTGCCAATGCACGTCATTTATTCAGGTGATAATCTTATTACAATTACAATTAAGAGTATCGGTATGATACCGTTAATTCGTGATCGCTTATCGACACAAAAATTGTAGATTTTTGTATTCGATATTGTCAAAAATACTTGATACTTTCAGAATAATATTATTATGGTTATTGTGAGTGATTTTTGATGGTATTTATATACACCAACAATCGTTATTCTGTAGGCTCCCCTATTAATAAGTAACAGCAAGTATTTAATTAATTGTTATTTCCACTACATGTTTAAAATTTCAAATAAAAATAATTTTTAATTCTAAATTATAAAATAACTGCTGTTTTACTAACTGATATTTATACATTTTAATATTTAATATCAAAAGTAATTTAACCCTTAAATTCATATAGTTGCGTTCGTTCAATTATCAATAATATATGTTATTAATATATATATTGATATTTAGGATTTTTAATAAATTTTAGATTATAATAAGTCCATAACATATAGATACAATAATAATAATAATAGAAATACAAGGTATTGACTAAAATAAAATTTATTAATAATAGATGTCGTCATTCAAATAAAACAATGAGTTTTAGTAATTTTGGCAACTTGATAATAGAATTTTTTTTAACACGAAATAAATAGAAATGATCTAATAAATATGCCGACTAACAGATTTTATTTTTTAATAATTTACATGAGACATATAAACAGTTAATCATGAAATAAAAAAATTGTATTTGTGAAATTATACGTGTTCTTATTTAAAATACCTATTTATTTCATTTGGTTGTTTGCGTATAAATTATAAATATGAAAAAAATTCTTTTTAATATTAAAACGGGGGATTTTTATATTTAATTCCTTTAATTACTTAAAATATATTATTGTTATTACGAACATAATGTAACAAAAAACAAAACCGTTTACTAAATACAACAGCGAAGTAAAGAAAAGTATTTACAAATTAAAAGATGTACTATTAAAAAATAAAATGTAGTATTCTCTAATTAACACTGTACAAAAGGCAATTGGAAAAGTCGCAGGTATTTTCCCTTTTTTAGTGCTCCGGAAATGTCTAGAAGCGTTTCGATAACGACACAAAGCGTCGAACATTCGCGCATGTTCCGTAGCGTTGGGACATATCGTTACTAATTTCAGCGTTAGAGTTCCCCAAGTCTGAGTGCCAAATTAAAATATTCGAACTGCGCTACCCTAATGTTCTCGTCAACGTGTAAGGCTTGGACGGGACGATATAAAGTCGAAGTGGGTCAATGTATTCGCTTTGAGTTGCCGACCAAGAGCAACAGAATGATTTTGACCTGTTGTATGTTGGTGACTCAGACAAGACTCATTGCGCGTACAATTTCGATTTCGAGAGACTCGTTCGCAGCCAAAATGCCCAACATTATGGCCGCGCATACACTTGCGAGTAAGTCGTGTGTGATATGCGCCATTGTGGGATGAGTTTGTGCCAACGTGGTATGTGATAACTATACCATAATAACTATCGCTTAACACCATTTTTTTTGTTTTGACGGTTTTATTGGTTTTATAACTGAATTATAGATTCATTATTAACCGCTAGATTATGGCCATATGAACTATATTGTGCAGTTGCTTTAACCGAACACCCCGTCGGTAAATACTACCATGACTTCCAACCGGATTAATTCAGTTATTCTCTCTAAACGTACTTGGTAAAAATACCAACTAAGATGGTTGGTTTCACTATTATATGTTTCCATATAACCATACAAAAATTATTTTTGCCATGTGGCCATTGACATTGGTAATATTCGTTTATAATCTTCGATCACTTTCATTGCCGTAAAATGAGTAGACTATCAATGTACCAATCGGTATACTATTAAATTGTACAGAGTACACTTTTGGGCAAACCAGTTTCCCACATTGAGTGGCCCATTGTACTCTCTGTGCATGTCATATCCAATGGTATATTCTCCCACCAATAACTCGGCGGGTAACATGAATGTCAATGTATTTGAAGCTACCACCGCCACAGTATCCAATAGGACACTGTCGTGCATAGTTCTGATATCGGTTTGTTTGTTTTTAGCCGTATTGAGCGGAAACTTAAAAAATAATAGCACTAACGGGCGCGACTTGTCAAAACAATTTTTTGGTATTAAATAGCAATAAACAGTTCGGCCGATAATTTTCTGATGAATAATAACAGTAACGTATCGTATGAGATAGCGCTTAGACAAACCATTTAACTTAATTATTTATTTACTATTTTAATGCAATCCACTTCATAATAATCATAATATTATTGCATTTATTATTAATCGAAATAAGTTTTATGAGATTTAATAGTTCATCCACAGCTTTAACAAGCACTATGTTTATCTATAAATTATAACTAAACCTCAAAAGTCACAGAAATTGGGTTTTAAGACGTTTACAACTTGTGTAGAGAAGGATGTTTTTCGTCGTGAACTAAAAATATATTCTATACAATTTAAGAATACACCATTTTGTTCCATTAAAGTAACCAGACGGAACGATGTGCACTCATTGGCCACTGACGTCGATAATATTCGTTTATAATCTTCGATCGTTTCCATTGCCGTATAATGAGTCAACTACCGATATATTGGTATATGCTACCTATTGCTTTAATCATATATATGTGATATTTAGTACATGTGTTAATAGTTATACTATACGGTCCGACGGCNAGTTAATAATTATACTACATGGTCCGATGGCGACAACACTGCTAGCCTTTAGAGTAGGGGTCAACAAAATTTTACTACCCAGTGCCGGGAATTATTACGAAAAGTTCGAATCATAAAATATCACGAGGAGACAATGTAGGTAGTGATCAGTGCAAATGACGTTCAAGATATGAAAGGAGCGGGCTGAATGTGCACACAAATGCCGTCCATGAACCGGTCCGAAGTAGTACACAGCTGACTATCTCGCACCCGCACAAACAAATCAAAACATCTTATCATGATTATTTAAATGATAAACGACGTCGTAGTACGCATTCGGCTCAACCAAGATAATTCAGAACACACATATATACAAATAGACAAATAGACAAAAAATAAACAGATACTTTTTGTCATGTTACAGAGTCAATTGTTTTGTGTTATTTTTGTTCATAGCAAACGCCTTTGCTTGTAACGTAAATTGTTCAACCAATGTAAGCCGTTATTTTATTATTTGTTTGGCTTCAAAGTTCTCGTGCCCTTACAGGTCACCATTGATTGGGCCCTGACCATCATTATATAACTTCATTGCCGTTGTCGCTATTTCGCGTTCTATTTTATTCGCCATTATGTGTCTGCCTTTACAATACGATTCGTAATACTCATATTTTCGTGTGATGGTGTCACGTTTCCATTATTGTGAGAATTATTATAATAAAATACAGACAGCACATCCGGTTCCAGAGACTGATGAATTATCAATTAATATTTATTGCTAAATTGGCAATAGTTCAAAGTATTTAAAAACCCAAAGACCTGAACATTCTGGTCATCAGTCTAAGTACTCGGTTGTCGCTGTCCGGCTTTCTGTTTAAAGTAAAGTTTTTGTTTTTCCTTTTATAACCTACTCTCTTTTTCGACATTTCAGAGTATTTGTGTATTGCACTTTGTCTGCACCTCGTACTTCATTATCCTCTTCTTATAACTAAAGTATTTGTGTCTTGCACTTTGTCTGCACCTCGTACCTAGGTGTTATTCATATTCCCCTCCTATAACAACGACCTTTCGACACTCACGGCTAACCCGGAGTGTCAGGCAAGCACGGTAACTGCTGTATGATTACACGCACGAGAATACTCAGTCAGCAGACCCTCAACATCATTCATTCGTCGTGACACCACTCTCTCTGTCGCCTTTTTACTTTGTGTTACGACATTTGACACCATCACAAGATCCCATACAGTCCACTCATCACTATCAACGACTTAATCTATTCAGCTGAGTTTTTATATTACTTTTTAATGTTACTTATTATTT